CTATCTTCTATATAGGGGAAATGGCTCTAATGTTGGCCTATGGATCTAATATTGGGCCAATCGCTAAAAATCTGCTATTTATCAATTTTATCTAGATGAACAAGTCATTTGGACGGTACTAAAGGGTGATATGGTCAAAATTTGGTCAAGGGAAAACGCGTGTAAATCGGTGAAATCGTTTATTTAAAAAATCAAATTAAATTTCTTTTTCAAGTTCAATTAGTATAAAATTCAGGAAAAATATTCAGTTAGGCTTCCGCTTTTCCAAATCCGAATTGCCGGGCCTTACGCTTGACCCCTGCCATCAGATTTTGTACAGCCATCATCGCGATTTGGAGTCACTACCTTCTTGTAAGTCGATAGTCCGGCTCGTTTTTTGGCTCGATGCACGGTTGTAGACGATACACCCAGCTTATTTGCGGCATCTCGGAGAGAGAGGTTAGGGTTTCGCTTGAAACTACCGGCAACTCTCTTTGTCGTCTCAGCGGCTTCCGGTTTTCGATTTCCCCCCGATCCAGACTTCCTAGCTGTCGACAAACGTTCCCGAAACACTTTAATTACATTTGTAAAGGTTGATTTGGCAACTTTTAGCGATTTTGCCAACTTTGCGTGCGAGTAGCTCGGATTTTCGCGATGCGCGAGCAAAATTTTGATACGCTGCTCTTCTTGCTTGGACGGCATTTTGACAACTGAAGAGTGAATTCCAAAATCAAAATAGGAGCAACATTCTACACACACACACACCTTCAAAATGAGGGGTATTCAGGTTTTTTAAATGCAAAATTGAAAGAAATACGTCAAGTTGATATTGACCAAATTTTGACCGTATCACCCTTTAATGGATATTTTTGGTCACTATTGAAAATTTAGTCGATTGCTGAATTTATGTATGGGCCTAAAATTAGGGGCATTTAGGCCGACATTACATCCATTTCCCCTATGTAAAAATAAATTTCTGTCTGTCTGTCTGTCTGACCCTTCTAGACTCGGAAACTACTGAACCGATCGGCGTGAAAATTATTAGGCAGAGGTTTTTGGGGCAGGGAAAGGTTCTTTTGATGATTCGAGACCCTTCCTCCCTCTGTAAGTGGGTGGGGGGGCATACAAAACATAAATTTATGCATAACTCGAGAAAAATCAAGCAAATGGAACCAAATTTGGCATGTGCAGGTCATAGGGGGTAGCCCCTCAAATACGAGGGGGGGGGGGATACGTACAATATAGCATCCTTTTTTCTAATTGGCGCATAAACTCAAGCTAATATTGAATCCCGAGCAAGGCCGGGCACACTCAGCTAGTGTTACAAATAGATGACTACAAACAGGAGTAGTTCCACGTTACAAAGTTAATATTCCATTATATGGGGTTATGATGACTGCCGCCACATTTTTGCAAATTTTTACAATTAACCACTTTATTCGAGCACTTAAAATGACGTTTACTACCACTCTAACTTTGAAATAAAACATTATTTTTAGATTTTTTCTTCTAGAACCTCGAGGAAAGTAGCCAACATTTCAGTGCCAACATTTCAAAGGGGCGTAATTGTATTTGTAAACAATGGCTTTAGCCGTCGATTTCTCACGAATAAAAGCTCACCCATGAAAAATAATGACACCAACAGGTAGATGAATGTTTCCTTTACCAGCTAGCATTGTTATTTTGGAGAGGTAAGATTTCATTCGCGAGAAATTTACGGGTAAAGTCATTGTTTACAAAAGCAATTACGCCCCTTTGAAATGTTGGCACTGATTTGTGCGTTTCATGAAAAAAAATAGAAATTATTTGATCCAGTTTTGTGAAATCGCTGGTAGAAAGTCACGCCAAAACTGCTTGACAAAGTGGTCAATTGAAATTGACAATTTGAAGCATTTGTGGCATTTTTTTTTCCTTGATTTGTTTTCCGTCGATCTTGTTTTCCGTGCTGGGCGTGAAAACGCGTGATCAGAGATGTTCTGCCTCAGAACATCCCGGCGGCGAACCGGTGGAAGCTAACGATTGACTAGCCTATTGGTCCCAAGCAAATCGATTAACGTATCCCATTCTAGTCGAAATTCTAGTACTACACCCTGTTTGTTTTGATTCGCTATGAAAGTTTGACAGATAAAATGAGGGGTTCTTGGATTTTCTCGAGGGGGGCGACACATCTAAATCTCAATACTAGATGCTCAAAAAATTTCACACTAGCGAATCAATCTTCGAAAACTCTTCTTTCAATTCTCGCATCTACTTGCATCTACATGCATTTTTTTTTTTGCAGGAAATCTTCAGAATCGTCATTAATCTTCTTTCTATCTATTTAGCGTGTACGCAGCTAGCCACAGCAAAACACAATCTTTCCTGCAACGTAGATAGAGTCGTCCCCCTCGGATTTTACTATGTTTCGAGAGGTGCATTGATTAGCTTGGGACCGAAGATAGGTTTGCGTTCCATTACCATACCTTGATGATTTTCTGAATAAAACAAGTCTCAAAACAAATAAATATACTACAATTAAGTTAAATTGTTTCGTACTTTTCGAGGTTACTGAAAACTTCTGCGGAAAACAAAACAAGCTGTCAAATGTCAAACGATGCAAGGTCATAAGTTCCGTATGAACTTTTTAGCAACTTTCAAGTTCAGATAAGGTTCTACATGAACTAATCAGAGACTTTGAAGTTCGAAAATAGTTCTTACGGAACTTGAAAGTAGTTTTGGCTACTCTGAAAACCATTTTTATTAATGAAATCAACACATCGAGTAAAATCATACGATATTCCACTTCGTTCACATAGAGCAGTGGTATGTATATCGGTTTCAAAGAGGAGGACTCGAGTTCGAGACTTGCGGTAAGTAATTTAAAAAAATTTAAATTAAATATTTGACCGTATTTCAAACATTTATCTTTTGACGACGCAGCAGCTCATAACAAATTAGAAGAGAACGTGGTAAGCAGCAAAATAATAGATATATTTGTTTTCTATTTTGGTTTGTTGATTTCATTCAAGTTTTTTTTGGGCTGTATAGCATTCCCTCCAACGGTTAAACGAACCTTTTGTGAACTTTCAAGTTCTTTTAAAAGTGAAACAGCATTCTGTTAGAAGCTTAAACATCGAATATGAACTTGGAAGTTCGGTCAATTACTTAAAAAATAAGCTGAATAGAATTCTCTTCATAATCCTTCGATTAGCTGATTAAGCCAAAAAAACGACTTTTATCCGAACTTTTGGTTGCTTGGGTTGTGATTCAGATAAGCTTCACATCTGCAGGCAGGACCCTGTGGTTGTTGTTGCTCATCTGCTCGCCCATGGGCTCTTGCCGAACAGCAAGTTGCTTAGTGTCATCATGCATGCAAAGCCTTACTGACCTTACAAGAACTCATCGGTAGGCCACTCATTGCATTGGGGCCTCTTGAGACAAACTAGTTCAACCGAAGGACGATGACAGAGATACATCTGCAAAATGACCGGATCGTTGCTGATGGGTATGTGCTTGATGTCGGACTCAAGAAATGGAAGTAATTGCATCGATCTGTTCCTGAGGTTAACGTATCGACATTCCCCAGCAGTACTGAAACTTCTATGGACATCCCTATAAAGTCCTGTGGATTGTCCATCGATGTGCATAACCAATTCAAACCATCTCTGCACACTGTGCCGAAACACAGCATGGCAAATTGTTCAGCACGTTAAGGCACACTTTGACAAGTAGGACACGAATAATATGAAATAAGGCGGCATCACTGCTGAGTTTTAACGTTTTTCCAATCGATGCTTAGGTTAACTATTCGGTTGATTATTTTATTAACTCAAAAATTAAGCTTGTGAACATATGTTGTCATACTGGCGAAACAACGATTCAATCAAGAATTTAAAAACAACCACCGGTTACCATCGGTTTTGAGGATCGAATACTGTACGTATTCTCTGAATCGTGCATCTCTTCAAACCTATCAAATTTAGTCTTTTCTGCTACTATTTGGGCCTCACTTCAATCGAGCTCATCCGGTTCCATGGCCGGTCGATATGGCAGTCAAGACGGCTGAAACAGGTTACATCTAGTGATGATTCGTTTTTGATTTAAAAATGCCCAGCGCTTGCCTTTGATGATATATTTGGAAGGTCACACAAACAATTTCAACAATAACAAATGGATCCCAACTATACGGCGGGGATGGCGGAACACACACACTATGCTGTTTTTCGTACAAAAACAAGAATACCATGCATCCTGCGATGATCGGATTTAAATTTGGAACGGTGAGCTATAGCTCGATGAATTCTCACATTCAGTACTGGAATAGTTCACCAAAACTCACTATAGGACTCGCGAACTTTTCCAACGCTGCTTACATTCCCACCCACATACTTTACCAAAACGTCACCTACTGGAGGCTTTATTCCAGAATACGCTTCTTATTTTTGAACTAAACATTTTGTACTGTCCTGGATATCCAATATCGAAGGGTATATTTAAGGATCAGCGCAGGATCTTCTGTAACAGTTGACATGTAGAAAAAAAGCTTATCATAGGGAGGCGGTTAGATTCGCATCCCGGGCCTGCCGAGAATCTTCTTGGATAGACATTTTAACATTTTTCCTCGGATACTCTGCCCAGTCATTAGTCTCATTAGCTTTCAATAAGGTAGCAAGTGTTGTTTTACCGGTAGTACCGGTCGATTTTCCGGTACTGACATGTGGAAATACCGGTAATTTCGGTACTGATCATTAATAAAACTTGCATTGTAATTAAAAAATTTCAAAACTCAAGGTACATGTCCTTTTCAGCATATGTATGTTGGATTTATTTTATTCCACATGCGCCTTCTTGCCCCTAGTTCCCCTAAACAAACTTCAGTGACAGTAAGTAGATGACGCGCCTCCATCGATAATCGCAGCTTTGAAAAACGGCTTGTTGTTCACTCCATAATAGCGGCTAGCTCATCACGACTTCCATTCAAGCAAATGAAATAAACCAAACGCTTGTCTTGTTTCCTATATTATTTTCCTTTTATTCTTATAATGTTTGGGTATGAATAGTTTTTACATATGTATTTAAAAAAAAGTTATCAGCGTCTTCATTACAGTGCCATTACTTTAGTCGATTCATATTTTCATTTTCTGTGTTCAATATTGAGTCTTTGCAGCTGAAGATTTATTATGAATCATTCACTTATTATTGATCATCAACCATCTGCTTTAATCGTTATGAAGTTTTGAGTTGAAGAATCGGTTTTATCTTGCATAAGTTGTATAGTTAAAACATGACTAATGAAGCTAATTTTTGCGACGGAAATTATATTACGAGATATCACCTGCCAATCGGAACAGCTCCGTTAGAAAATAAACTCTTATTACGTTCGCGAACAAAAACATACAATTCGCATTGTAAACCATTCCTGCATTATGACTACGAAGTACTTCGATGAAACACAAATTTTTGTTAGAAAAAAAATATATATGTGGAAATGCTGTCGTAGATTTGTATTTCTAACCAATCACGGCGGCACGTTCAGGAAAAAAAAATTCATTCAATCCTCTTTGCTTCCATCCTTTTCATTTAGATCACTCTCCTCACGAGCCCTTAGAAGACTCCAGCAGCGTATGGGTCGTCGCTGTGACGGCCAAATTTATAGATGATCGATGAGAAGAAGATGAAGATGTTATGCACCAGCAGTGCATAACCAGGACCCTTTTCCGTCTTATCATCGTTGACGGCAAACTCGGCAATCATGATCCAAATGGCAGCAATGATCGAGGCGAATCCCAGCACGAAGCCCACGAACAGAAACACCTTGATACCGCTTTCGCCGAGGACACCTCCGGTATAGCCTGCACCACCGTGGAGCTGTGAAGGTTAAGAAAACAAAAATAATCAAAAACCATTTACCTCCCACTGTCGATTTCTTTAAAGCTATGTTCCATGACCTCGTCAACCGATAGTCGGTTTCCTTTTAATCACAAAACATTCAAACACACACGCAGCGCCCTTCTGCAGGCAGATGACTCACCATTTCATTCGAGATCGAATTGACCATGAAGAAGCTGATCGTGGCCAGGATGCCACAGATGTAGTAGGAGAAGTCCCACGACTTCGGATGCACGGCGGCCGTATCAATTGCAATCCACCATCCGGAGAAGAACTACACCAACCGAGGACGGGGCAGGGAGAAAGCGAAAAAAGTATAAATTAATCATCTTCCTAATCTAATTATCACAATACTTTTTTTTTCATTTGCATCCCATTGCTGTAGGCATACTAACCAATAATGATGCGACCAGTGTCGCGATAATGTTTCGCCTTGGGACGTTTTCGACCCAGTACGATTGTCTGATTCTGTCCATGATCGACATTTTGAAGTAGGTCTGCTGATGGGGTCGGGTTTCCTCCGCTCAAATGAATTCCTTGCTCAAATGTTCTTCCAAAGCTTTCCGCACGATTGCACTTTCTAGCACATATTTTTCCTGTTTTCGATAAATTGAGGACGACGGAATTGCTGCCTTACTGGACTAGATGGTAAAAAATATTTCTTTATTTTAAACACAAAGTTCCCACGAATGATTTTTGCATTTATTGATAGCTTTTTGCTTTCTTCTGCTGCTGGCTTCGTCCTTTGATGTTTTCTTTTGTTGTCAAACTAGAAACGTCAAATCAGTTTGTTTGTTTATGGGGAACTTTCATTGAACGCACTCACTCTCTGGGAACACCTTTTCTGAAGGGCTGCACTATGGGGGAAAAAGTAGTTTAAATCAAAGAGGAAACCGTATGGAGCATATCCAGCACAAAACGCAAACCGGTTGGATATGAATGTTTCCGAATTGAATGAAATATTACTCACATGTTTGCTGCTATGCTAATATCCATGGTTGAAATTTTCAACTAAATATAATAGGCCTTTTAAATGCACTACCAACGTAGAGTGCGCCATGTGAGTTCGAGAGGAAATGTCAACCAAACCGTTTGTTTACATCAGAATAAGGATTTTTCACAACGCAAATCTAAGCTTTTTTTATTGAACATCTTGCCAATTTCCATCAGTAATTGTCTTATTTTACGATTTTCCACAGATCTGAACTGATTTGTACCTCAACTATTCACGCACCAGAAAGCCGGAAGATCATAACCCTCGTCATAACCACTAAGGCTTTATTCTAATTTTCCATTTTTCTCAACAAAAACATTCCCGAACACCAGCAGGATCCTTGCAAAAACGTTACATAATTAAATTGTTCATAGATCAAGTTTTGGAGCATCTTCGATGAATCAATTTATCAGGAATAGTGAAAAAGTGTTGCGCTTCCAATGTCTCACGGCAGAAATTTCTGCTCACAACACTCTTTTTGAAGTTCTGTTATTCACCACCAGAGGCTAAATCAATCACTTAGTTAAAAAATAAAATAAAAAAAAATGATGATGACGATGATAATGATGATACCTCTACCCCAACAAAGGTTTGAGCTGGACGATTTATCTTTAAGATAATTAAATATTAAATCGAACTGGTTTCAGTTACAGATATAAATTCCCTCTAGAGTTTACAGTTGCTTCACAGCGATATAAATGTGGAAAAGCTCAGGCGACCTCTTAGCTCGCCTTTTTGTCCACCTAAAATATTCATAAGTATTACAAGCAATCTCAACAAAGCATCCTATTACACTAGCAACCTCGCAATCTGATGCTATCATAATTTTCAGCAATGTCAGGAATGCTCACGAACCCCCAACATTTGCCAGAAAACTTACTACTAACTCAAGGTCGATCAAGGTATCTTCGAAATAAGCTTCAAAATTGAATTTTTTTTATCAAATGTTAAATTCAGTCCTCTAATACGCGCGCGAGGCTCAAACCCAGGGGGTAAGTCACTCTGCCACCATGTGTCTGTGCTTATTGTGTTTCCAGTGTGTTTTTGGGTGTCGGAAGGTGTTTCATCATGTTGACCGAGCTGTCAAAACTTCAACCGAAAAAATATATTTACTGGCAACCATATCCTCAATCAAAACAACATAACGCTATTAATGGCAGATCCTCCTGCGACTCCTTTGCTGTTGTTTGTGTGCAGATTAATCCATGAAACAAGCATTGGCCCTCTCACTTGAAGAGGAAGACGAAATGGGCGCCTAACCTGGCGCCTGATGATTTGCTCACTCTCAAGCGAGCTCTCAAGGGGGCCTTCAGTCAGGCTGAAATGCACAACTGGCTTATGAACAGTATCCAGGAAATACCGAAAAATATTTATGGAAACGAAAGGAATAGGCTCTTTTTCCGTCACGTCTTCATTGTCTTCTAATTTGTGAATACGGCAAGGCGGAAGCGACAACATTTCTACCATTTAGATTCTCAAGGACTTTATTACGAAGGAAGTCACCAAGAAACGGATCAAGCTGCAGCTTTCAACAAATTCGATTTGATTGATAACAGCGTAGCAATTAATTAATTTATCTTTATTAGGGAGGCTTTCAGCCTGGGGCTGGTTCGCCTCCAATAAACAGCGTAGCACCCATTTTCAGATATCAACGAACAAACCTTCCCCGGATTAATCAAGTTGATCGAGCCGAAGATCGTTCACTACAACAAGCTGACGAAGGACCACCAGATACTGCAGACACTGATCGATTTGGACATTCGAAACGATGATCCGCATCTACGAGATTCTGACCGATCTGTACATCGATAAGTTCAAGTTCAAAGGGGTAAATGTGAAGACGAAACTGCCGCGGTTGACTGACCTGCTGGAGAATTATAAATATGACAAGTTGGTCAATTTCTACAGTGTCGGGAAAGCGGTTGATGATGAGTAAATGGACTGGTATTTTAAATAAATCTACCTTTCGGGGACACATTCCGGTTGAAGTCAAGTCGATCGATCACCTTAATTTTGTCTGTGCCTTAATAGGCTAAATATTCATTCTTTTCTAAAAATAATACACCAAGTCCCCTGGTCATAGTAACTATCTTCCACGCTGATCCCGCCCACCGCCAAACACAATTCGAACATCTCCTTCTTCTCGAACCACATGGTAATACCAACAATCAATACGAAACTAACGATTTTAAATTGGCTCACCGCTTTAGTAGCCTATTGGTCCCAAGCAAACGATTAACGTACCCTATTCTAGTTGAAATTCTATTACTACACTATGTTTGTTTTGATTCGCTATGAAAGTTTGACAGATAACATCAGGGGTGTGTGGATTCATGCAGAACATGCAGGGGTGAGTGAAATAGCTTGGGACTGCTTGGGACCGTTGTTCTGGTACTGAGTGAGCCAAAAATAATAATGATTTTCTTCGGGACCTACTAGTCTTAGAGTTACCTCTATGGTAATACCTGAGAAAAGTTACCTTCGCTTCCTGCTGCTGCCGTTCTACGTCACGCAACTTCCAAGGAAGCAACAAATCCCTATGCTGAAACTGCGTCCTGTTGGTGGGAATTGGCAGCACCGATTTCCCGTCGCCATGTTCAATCGGAACCACCTTCTCCGGCTCTCCATCCCACGGTGATTTATTGTTGTGCTTATGCTGCCGTATATAGCTTGATTGTCTTTCTTAAATCAGTGCCCGTCCTTCTGGGCGAAGTACTCGACACATTTCCTCAATCGCTTGCCTACGAAGCCTACGATGATCTGAGGATTCAACCCCAGGTATTTACCATTACCGCATCCAATGTTCAGCAGGATAGACCCGGGACTAAGCGATTCCAAGAACCCTGCAATTCGTGGCCACGGTGAGTGCCTCCAGTTCTAATTGGGCAGCGTTCTCTTTGATACGATCAGCTCTATCATTCGCTTCTTGTTGATACGTATCACACAGAGAACTAAACTGGGAACGTCAAGGGCCATCATTAAACTTTCTGAACGTAAACGATACTCTTTATTCACGTTTCCTAATTGTTAGGCTGCCATTCAACCTTACCGTATCCATCTTTCTCGGCGTTATTCCATGAGTCCATCCGTATCGACTTTCGCCGGACATTGCGAGCAGAGACCTTTTCGAGGCAAATCCACATTCAAGTGTTGTCCCGTGGTGTCCCGAAAATCCATTACTATATCACTTCCGAGGGTATCGAGATTTGCCGATAATACTCGTACTCAGTCGTACCAATCTGGGATCGTATCGTAAACTGTAAACAGCAACAACAATAACAAAACAACAAAATAACAATCGAATGTAAACATTATTTGCAGTGGTGCCAGAATTGATTAAAAAATTGCTTATCATACGTCGGAAGGGTGTTTGTGGGTGTTTGAAGTGTGTCGAAGTGTGTTTCTGTGGGTGTTAGCACAATGTGGCAGAGTGACTTACCCCCTGCTCAAACCTTTCTAGACTACTTTTTTTTAAATTAATATAGTTTTTGCAGTGCTACAATAATTACTAAAAAAAAGTCGTTATGACAGCTATCCATATAAAATAATCCGTTAGAGATAACTTCGTCAAAATACATAATTTGTCAATTCATAAAAGAAAATAACTGGATAACTGTTCAAAAGACAGTTTTAACGTGTGAAATGCAGTGTCTTTTAAATTTTGTACGTGTTGCTGAACGTTTGATATGTCTAGGCATCGAATTGAAAACATTTATTTCTTTAAAATATAATGAATGTTGTGAAGCACAAGTTAAGAAATGTGGTGTTCTTAAATTGAAAATCGCGTTTCTAGTATTATATCTATGAAAGTCACTTTCAATTCGATCACACTTATATCGAGGCAGCAAACCGTTAACAACTTTAAAAATGTACACCATAGCCAAATATATAATTCTTTGCTTCACCGACAACAATTGTAAGGCGTCTAGCATCAAAGTTGAGGAAGTGAAAATGAAATTAAAGCAGGGAAAAAGGAAACGATCGCTCGTTTGCATAATCTGCCTGCACTATTTATCTACACACAAATAATAATCGTTAATGAAATAAAAAAAAAAAACCATTGGTAGAATTAAAAGTTTGCATTGGTTCTTTTTGGTAGAAAGCGTTTAGCTTTCAAAACAAAAGTCATCCAACTGTTAATTCAAAAGTTGCCCACTCCCTACTTTCAAAAGTTGACATTTTTAAAGTGAATTGTAGTACTGTCAAATGGAAAGCGAGGCAGTGCTCAAATTAAAAGCGGATTATTTTAATTTCAAAACAAACTTTTGAAAGGAAAGCATGGTATAGTTGACATAAAATGTGCCATTCTCAAATAGAAAACAGTGTTTATAATTTTAAAATAAGCTTTTTTATCGTTTTTTTTCCTGGATTGTTTCAAATAAGTTCTAATAAATATCAATTAATTTCTTAATTTATTTGATAAAATTTCTAAAAATATATTTATTACTTCCTAAATTATTCATGTTGTCTATCCGATTTCCGAAGCCGTCGCTGCTTTGACCTCGGGGTCCTCCGACGATTTTCCCACTCCCTGTTGATGGGATGCTTCATCCTGCATCGATAGACTGCCACCTATCTTACCACACGAATCTAAGCACGAATGTAGCCGATAGGGTAATGGAATCATGTTTATCAAAAACGTGGATGTTTGCACTGGAAAAGTAAGGTTCATACTGCAAAAGAGGAAAAGTCACTATTCACATTCACATTCTTCACATCTTGATCTTACACTTTGAGACGATTTCCACAACGGCAAGTAACATCGTCAGCATGAGGTACAGCAGAGTGGCGTTGATTAGGATTGTGTACTCAAAACAGCGTCCGGAAGAGGTAAAACATTTCGGTAAAAAAAAGTTCCATAACAGTCCAACCTAGCGGCGCCCCTGATGTTTTCACCTACACATTTGATTAGGGAATTTTTCTACTCGAGGATCATTTTTAGGATAGAATTTCGCTATATAAGGATAAAATAATTGTAGAATAAAGTTAGTTCATAAGTGATACTCAATGCGGCTGTATCGTTGTTTTCATCCGAAAACTCCTTGGTAAGTTTCTAGTTCAAGAAAAACTGTAGATTCCCAAAGTAGAATAGGCTCTCACAATAGTTAGAGTACTGGCTCTTGGGCATAAAATCTCAAAGGTATTTCGGAGCTAAAAACTATATTTTCAATGGATTGAGACTCTCTCCACTCAATAAGTATAGGCTCTCACCCTGGTTAGAACAACTAGCTTGAAGTCCTGCGGGAATTTCAATAAAAATGAAAATAGCAAGGTTTGCAGTTGGTCGAGTACTCCTTCACCCGACAAATAAAATAAATTGTTAGCAGCGATAGCGTTCCTTCGCACGTGTATATCAATCGCGTCGTTAACATTTTTACTAGCTGCTTGTACTAATCAAACCTGTTGCAAAAATCAGCCATGCTTGAAATCCATCGATTTAGGGAAATGGATGTAATGTCGGCCTAAATGCTCCTAATTTGGGCCCATACATAAATTCAACAATCGACTAAATTTTCAATAGCGACCAAAATATCCATTAGTACCGTCCCAATCTAGATAAAATTGATAAAAAGCAGTTCTTTAGCGATGAGCCCAATATTAGATCCATAGGCTATCATTAGAGACATTTTCCCTATTTGCCAATTAGTCGTCTGTCACTTCGTTTGAGATATGTTTTTATTTTACAGCCCCGAATAAATCCGTATATTTAATGAATATTCCTAGGAATATTCACTTTATTTTTAACTTGAATCGCAGAATTTAAAAACCAATCATGGAAAAAAAAATCCTTGCTACACGGCTCTATATTTGAATAAAACCTCATCGAATGTTCGAACTATTTTTTCTCTGTTTGAGCATGATGCGACATTGCCTCTTATGAATGCTCACTGTCGAAACCGTTTCTGAAGGATTCCACTTGTGTTATCAAATTATGTTCTTGCTTTGGTTTGTTGATGTTTGGCACTCGATGATGGCACTCAATGTTTGCGAATCATATCAGACGAATGCTTTGTTCGCTTGTATGGCTTTTTTACTTTGCCAATAGATTGTTTTTTTTTTCTTATTGATAAAATTGAATTTTATTAACATTAAAAAAACCTGCAGAACAACAAAATCATCCATCTAATAAAAAAAAACAGTGTGTTGAAACTGAGGCAAGTACTTGTGCACTTTTAAGTAATAAATCGCAAATTATTGAATCACCCAGCAAAAGGGTTCAGGACATGCTCCGCAGAAATGTCCCCGACGGTTCTGCTGGTATTGAAACATGTGGTGCTACTCGTCATTTGCCTGGTCGGTGACAAACTTCTACAGATCATACAGAAACCACCGTTGCTGAAAGCAGTTGTAGATAACGTAACGCACGCCCTTATCGGTCTGATTGCCACCGAAATCGTCGTCCACCAGTTCCGGGATCAGTTGGGACGAAACGAACTATGGTTGCTGATCGGTTTTGGCTTCGGGATGTCGTCCTGGATCGACGTGGATCACTTCATAGAAGCCCGATCGTTTCATATTCATGTAGGAGTAGAATTTGGAAATATGGTTCGGTGTAAGATTCTAAAACTAAACTTGTTCTTGCAGGACGCCACTAATCTAACACATCGACCATTCCTACACAATTCGGTGATATTTCTGGTGCTCCTCGTTGCAACCAGTCTGCTGGTTAACGTACAGGAAAACTTCTCCACATCTATCTGGACGGCCATTGCATTCGTGGCGTTTTTTACCCACCACCTGAGGGATGCTATCCGACGGGGACTGTGGTTCCGAGCGCCCTATCTCAACTATAGCACTGCTCCGGTGCTTTACTGGCTCTATATAGCGTTGATACAGCTGTGTCCCCATGCTGTGATCCAGCTGCTCGAAATGCAGCAGCGACAACTGGCTCGATCATCGTCGGCGGGAGCATCGATTGAATATCGACCGCTTGCGGTTGTTTGAATCGAATAAAGTTGAACTTTTTTTTCTTCTAATTGCTGCTGTGGTGTTCAACAATTTTTACCGCTCACTATATCACAGCACAGCCAAAAATTTCCACAACTCAAAACAATAAGGTACACCCGGGGAGCCAAAAAAACTAAGGATTGATAGGTTCTCACCTACCGTGGGCAGGGTGTAGTAAATTGAGTAATGACAATATTAATTCCGAGGACCATGGCATTTCGGATAGATGTAGCTACCATTCAAAGTCGATCTGTAGTGCCAAATTTCACTTGTTCAAAAAGGTTACAAAATCTTTGTACGAAAAAAATCAATTATATTTCTAGGCATTCATACGCAAGTGGAACGACTTCTGCGTTAGGAGTATTAACCGATATATCTAATATATTGTTTACACCCTATCACAGGCAAAATAATACTAAGCATTACCTTGTACGATGGGACATTCGCCCTCGTTCTGCAGACACCACTGCGGTTGTAGACTTTCTGCGGCGATTCCGTTCTCGACCAGACGTTCCCTGTGGACCAACATCCGGGAGTCAGCGGATTCCCAACCCTCGCGGGGATCCGACCACAATCGTTCGGCCAGGGCACTCACCCTGGGCCAGAAACGGCCATCCAACGAGTGATGATCGGCTTGTTCGGTCCAGAGAGCCGCCTCCGCTCCGAGAATCTGCGACGAATATTTACCACCCATCGATTTGAAATCGTTGTTGTACACCTTCTGCCATCCGATGTATGGCGAGCACCAATTATTGCCACCATTTACCCATCCTGCAAAGCCGCAATCCAAGTAGAGAGCATCGTAGTTTGACATGATCAATTTGTATCCCTTCTGAAGGAGAGTGGCAATCTTAGGATCGTCGCCTGTGGTCCAAATTTGGATGATGTATCGATCCTTGTTCAGATACCTGTCAACGAAGGGTTCTTCGGTCAGACGGCTGGTCCACATAACGATCGGTCGATTATCCTTGAGGCTTTTGTCCAACCGTTGCAAAGCATTCGTTTGGAAGTGGTCCCATAGTTTGAGGAAATCGGCTTCCTCCAGACCCCAACCCTTGGCCTTCATCCACTGTTGAACTTCAACGCTGGAATTCCAACAACTCAAAGAGACTTCATCACCACCCATGTGAAACACATCCGAGTGGGTAAACATGGCGTTCATTTCACGGTAAATGTCTTCCAACACGTCGTACATCTTGTCTTTCGTTGGGTCCAGTTGACCACAAGGAGGTTCCACACAGTACTTGCTCCATGGTTGGTAGTTGAAACAGGTTGTGAGATTAGTCTTCTCCCATCCCTCTCCGACGTGGGCCGGGGCGTCCAGTTCCGGTATGACCCGAATTCCACGAGCTAACGCATACTGCACAATGTCTTGCACGTCCGCCGCCGTGTAGATCTGTTTGCGGGAGTACGCTCCGTAGGTGTGCAGGATCGGTTGCGATTTGATAACCAGCGGGAAACTTTGCGAGTCCGTAATGTGCCAATGGAACACGTTCATCTTAACCATAGCCAGAGCGTCAATGGTTTTCTTGATGGACGAAATCGAAACGTAGTTCCTGGATGTATCCAAAGCCAATCCTCGATGCGAATAAACCGGAGCATCCTGAATCTCCACGTCGGACACCACTTGTAGCTCGTTCCGGATATCGTCAAATACCAACAGCTGCGCTAGCGTTTCCAATCCATGACGAACTCCGAAGTAATTGCCAGCTTCGATTTTCACATGCACATCTCCACCATCCGGAGCACTTATCGACAGTTTGTAGCTCTCATCAGTCTCATGATTCAGCACCAGCGAGTCGCCTCCCACATCAACATTGACGATCATTCGCTTGCCGCCGGACTTGATAGTCTCCCCATCTCTCTTCTTCAGCAGTTGTTCCCGGAAGCGATCCACGCTATCGTCCCAATACTTGTTCAACGCTTCATACCTCTTATTCCACTGGAAGTCAATCGCCGAAGGATTGACACGAATCAGGTCGTTTCCAAGCCGGAAGTCACCGGTAGGGCGGGGCCAAACGGTACCGAAGACCCCATCGCAATAGAGGCGGCATACCGGCAAGCTGACGGCCTTAGCCCGCTCGGTGCCATCACCACTATCGAGGGCGACCTTCTGGCAGCGGCTGTTGATGCATCGGTAGCCCCAAACCGGAGCGCTGCAAAGAGAGAAGATTGAAAAAATAATTTTAATGAATCATATTGTCGAGCAGTTTTGAGGCGATCTTCTAGCAGTGATTTTAAGAAAATGAAGCAATACAATTCACATCTTTCTAGTTTAGCATAAATAAGACCCTATTGTCTCGAGATTCAAATTTTAACATAATATTGATCCACGGCAAAGTTTCAGTTGTACGAAACGTCATTTTAAACTACTCGAATGAAATGATCCATTGTTTGTTGTGTGGGACCAGATCCGGAAAATTTTTTCGATTCCACCAAGAAACTATTATTTGACGTTGAAACGCACCACTTTTGGCGACTTTTCTCGTGATTCTAGAAGATATCAGAATCAAAGTGAACATGTTCTACGATAGATGATGAGATGAAAGTATGGAGTTGATAGTTCAGTTAGAGTACGGCAGTATGAAAATTGAGTAGAGAGTAGAGAGTAGAAAGCAAGCAAAGGTCAATTTTGAGGAAGGTACGAATCGGTTCGAGCATTCGCTTTACCAAACTAATTCGTTAATGAGTGGCGGTGAGGCGAGGGGGTGGTAATTCCACTGACAAACCGACATGAAACTTAAACTTAACTCTTGATCGAGAATTCATAACGGCCGATTAAAATGTGCAGGGATCCCATCTATCAAAAGCATAGAATTTTTGTATCTAGATAAAAATAATTTGTCCAAAATAGATTAGACACGAACCAACTCATAAATTTTGTACGCGTGTTCGTGGCTAGGATAAATACGTTCCGCGAACACGGCGACAGATGTCAGTTTTGTGCTTTGATCAGAAATTTCTTTGTAATTTGTATATCATTCATGTCGGTTTGTCGGTGGTGATCACTCTACACGCATATTTTGCGCCAATTTTCTTCTCAGAGTGCCGGCAGTGCAGATTTTGCCAGTCATGGAACGCATTGACTTATTGAACATTATAACATTGTTTGGTGGTGGCATGTTTGGCAACACGAATAATTTGACAGCTCAATTCAAGGATCATTTTTTGTTGTTTTAGCCTAGTTGGGTCTCCATGCAGAACTATAGGAACCTAACGCTTCTAGAGCACCCGCATCAATGCGTTGCTATTCGGGCTGCTAGTTTGACAACTTTAGCCATTGCTATTTTAGTTAGCAACTTGTTTACGCACCGGTCGTTGCTATCACGATTGTGAATTTTTGTTTTCGGCTTTCGCACCGATAGGTGCTAAATTTATCGTAGAATTTCGAACTGAAATTGATCACAGAGTTTCGTGATTGTTTTTTTTTTTTCGACAATATTGATATACCTAATCACGAAGACTGAAGAAAAAAAATGTTAAGATCCAACTACAGACCCAGGTACTCAAGAAACGGTCCTCCGGAAGATCCGAATAGACCAGCAATTTTTTTTTAAATCACTTGCTGCATGAATGAATTTAAATCTGGGACCAGCATGCGCACACTGGTGGTCACGAAACTGTCCTCTTGGAGAACCGGAACATCCATAAAAGTGGTCCATTCGTAAAAATGATCGAAATATCGATCTTCGTATGCTCATCTTATAAAAGTTGCGTACCAAAATGCATAAAGGCATTTTCAGATGCCCATCTGGATTACGAGATTTAATACATATTTTAGCTTGTGAATGTATCAAGCTCGGTTGGTCGAATTTAATAACGTAGATCTATTAACATCAGAAAAAAATTGAAACCTTTAAGAAGTTCTGATTGATAGAAATGTGGGAAAGTTATACGATCTTTAAGAGTAAGTTTCAACTGCTCCAGGGCAATCTAATAGATTTCAGGACAATTTACTTCAGCGAAGATCGAGATCTTCAGGGCAATTCCATTAAATTCAGGAAAATTTAAGCTTAAAGACCTATGAGTAAGTTACGTGAGCTTCGGGTATGTTCTGAAAATGTTAGGGCAGTTCCATGAATATCAGGAAAACTGTGAGAACTTGAGGGACTTTCCTTAAACATTAGGTTTCTTTCAAGAACTTTATGGCAGTTCCATTTATTTCAGTAAAATAGAGGAAACCATCAAGAAGTTCCGAAAATTTAAGGATAATAAAAAAACTTCAGGGAATGAACTTAAAAACATTAAGAAAGCTACACAGAAGATCCATGTTTAAAGGAAAATATAAAGATCTTCTAGGCAGTTCCATTCATATCTGAACAATTCCAGGAATATCATCAGGAAAACATAAGGGAAATTCCGTAGACTTCAAAAAACAATAGAGATTTTCAGGAGAGTCTGAGGAATGAAAAGAAGTACTGAGAATTTCAGAAAGTTTCATAGGCAAACTACGGGAACAAAAGGAAAGTTCCGTCTCTGGAATTTTTTGTGAACTTCAGGCAAACTTCAGGATTTTTAAAATCGTTCCAAATGTTTCAGGAAACTGCAGGAACTTTTAAGAAGTTTGAGAAATTCAGATGTTCAGAGAAGTCAAAATAATTTCAGAGATGTGGAGGTAACTTGAGGAAAATTGACATTTAAAGAACTTCCCAGTACCTCAAAGAAGTTAAACTAGAGAGCTTTACGGAATTTCAGAGCTATTATTGGCACTTCCAATAACTTAACAATCATAAGTTAACAATTATACAAAAATTTTTTTGGCAGTTCTTTTTAGTTCAGGGTAGTACCAAGAACTTCAATAGAATTGAGAGTACTTCAGGAAAAAATAAATAAATAAATAAAGTAATATCATGGAAATTCCAAGAAACTCAGGGAATTTCCAAAACTTCATAAAAGTACCAAGACCTTTATTTAAATTTCAGAAACATAAGAGATCTTACATGAGCATCAGGAAAATGTGAGATCATTTTAAGGAAGTTCCATGGTATTCAATGCAGTTTAAAGAACTGCAAAAAAATGCAGGAACTTCAGCGACGATCAGATTATGTTCAAGAAAATCGCGAGATCTTTTAAAATGTTCAGAAATCTTCAAAAACACCTAGAAACCTTCAGAGAAGTATATAGATTTTTTTTAGTGGTTTCATTATATTTTGGGAAGTTCCCGGAACTTCGCAGATGATTAGAGATCTTCTTATCAGTTTCATTTATTTAAGGAAAATTGCAGGATATTTCAAGGAATTCAAAGGAATTATGGGATATTTCAATATTTTCATGAATTTTGCAATGCTTCAGAAACAATGCGAGGTCTTCAGAAAATTTTATAAATATGATTAAAATTTCCGGAACAATAGAAAAATTAATGAACCTCAGGAAAGATTCAAAACCTCAGGGAAGTCCAAATAAAACAACTGTGTTACCTGACTTATAACGAATATACGTTTTATACGAGTACCACGAATACAACGTATGACTCGTCTAATTTTGCATAGCATTTGCAATGTAAAATTAGACGAACTATACTTTGTATTCTGGGTACTCATATACAACGTATATTCGTTATAAGTCAGGTAACACCCCAAGTAACAATTCAAGCTGAACAGTAAGAACATAAGCTGATTATTGGTTGATTTAAGGTGTACAAAGCTGATTAACAGCAGGCTGAATATATAGTTGATTAGTAGTTCATGAAGCTAATTGTATCCCCATAATTCAACCTCAATAAGATAGCTGATCTAAAGACGGAACAAGCCTTATTTTAGCTTAACACTACTCCAAAAATCAGCAATGCACTACAAATATTTTCATAGCCTAATTGGTTAAATGTAGTCAGTGTCGTTCGTTGCATTTACGGCATTTTAGTTCTTCTAAATTCACTGCCTACCTTTCTAATCCCAAGCAGCGTCAGCAGTCGAGACAAGGTAGAGGAGCTTTTTAGAAATAGCTCCAAGTAGAAGTGGACTGCGACGCCGTCGGAAGTGTTAACATTTGTATTTCTGTGTTTTGACTGCTATATTGCACTGAATATTCAGACAGCATTCCAAAAATATAACTCAATTATGCCACTAAAATAGTTTCCACATTACCATCGAAATAAATCGCGCACTTATGTCCACATTGTGTTAACTACACTTGAAAATGAGAGGAACGTTTTGCTGTCACCAGTTGTTGTATACAATTCTGCATTGCTGTATAATACTCTTCCGGTTGCTGTTATTCAACTTAAAATTGACGTGTGTCAAGTTAATAATCATACCTTTTGCCACGCATATGCTTAAGTGGTCCAGTAGGTATGATTGATGCCTATGAATCAGCGACTGCCGGTTCGAATCCCGAAATGCAAAGGTAATTTTTAGACTTATAATAACAATATAAATGCCGGCACCGGTGGTGTAGTGGTAAGCGTGACTGCTTTCTAACACCCCGATGGGTCTGGGTTCAATCCCAGCCGAGGTCGGTGGGATTTTTCTGAGGCATAAAAATCTCTGGTCACGTCTTCCTTCGGAAGGGAAGTAAAGCCGTTGGTCCCGGCCCATGTGTGTTGTGAATGGGTGCGATATCCTACGCAGGTGTGGAAGCTGCCTTCCTGCACATTCGGTTGCCGTCAATGGATGGCAATCGATGTCCGTCGGTGATTGGCACTAGATTGCGGAACAGAGACCGACGTTAAATAAAGGAAAAAAGAATAACAGTATAAATATGTAATACCAATTAGTTGCAGTCCCATAAAAATATATAACATATGAAGCAGTCTTCCATTATTATTTTTTTCTAAATAAAACTTGAAGGCTGAACAAGGGTTGGAGAAGAATGTTATTTAATGCCTTAGATACGGTACTGAAGCAAAGTGTTATGTTTAATTTCTTTATATTTGCAACGATGATGATTTCCTATAGTGACACATATCACCTTCTTAATGCTTCAGTATGCCTCAAACGATTAATTCTTGGTTGTTAATAGAACTTCCTTGATGAAATCGGCTGCTTCATGCAGACTGAGCAATTCTGATTATAGTATCAGATTTGTTCTGTATACAGAGGAACTGGGAGGGCTTATTAGAAACTTCTCACCAATAAAGTAATGATCTTCTATTAAATTTTGCATATCATTTTATTAATATTTTATTTTATTGAAGCATATTATTTTTTTACAGTCAATC